TTCCAAGGCAGCAGCTCTGGGCTCGGTTCACTTGAAAACCCAACCATCATCTCCAGCACGTCCTCCGGCACGTCCGGCATGATGCTACGCCACCAATTCCAGTCCACTTGGGACAATCTCTTCCGATTCTTCTGGTTCTCTTCAAACTCTGCCAACATCACCATGGCGTCCTTTCGATTCATGACAGGGCACCCCGATCTCAGCCAACACTTCACAGCTCCAAGCTGCTGGTGCATGATCGTGCAACCCTGCCCATTCCAGTGAATGGCATACCCATTCTCCACCAGCAGACTCAGCGGCAAGATCGGCTCCACTGGCTCCAGGGACAAGAGGGTGTCAAAGTCCGGGTGCTTGTACAAAGTTGTACATCCATGGGCAAGCTCCACCGTCACAGGCTGCAACCTCCCTCGCTCCTCCTGTCTTGCCATTCTCAATGGGTGAGTAGCTCCACCATCCAATAATGCTAGCTCCAAACCCTCATTGGTATCTGCCACATGAATCTGCTTCAATCTGAAGGTCTTCATACTGCGGAGGGACTTTAAGAGGGATGTGGCCTCAGTGATCAGCTCCGACGTCGGATCACCCTTCTTTTCCAATTCAACTCCACTATCCCGTCCCTTTTCTCCTCCACCTGCCACCGGCCGTGTAGCCGCGGACAAAGAGCTCGTCAATGAAGTAGTTCCTGACTTTTCATTCGGGCCAGTCTCCTCCTTCTCCGACGTCCCTTTCCCACTTCCCTTCAACTTGGCCGTCTTTTTCCCATCCTTCTCCGGTCGTTCCCGACCATACGGACAGTCCTTCGCAAAGTGGTTCTCCCCGGAGCAGTGAAAACACCTGCCCGTCTTGTTGATGCCCTCCCAGGCATGGGCGAAAGTACAGGTCTCTCCCCGCTTGCACCCACCAGTCGTACCCCAGTAACGGCATGGATGTTTCGTCTTTGGTGGTCCATCTCCGCCTCCGCCTCCTCCACCCAAGGCCTTAATCGTTGGCTGAGCCCCGGCTGCTGGCTGAAGGACTGCTCCGGAGCCAGTAGTCTTGGCCGACGAAGGATGTGGCATAGTCAACGCCAAATCTTCCGCTTCAGCCTGGAGAAACTCCGCAAACTCCTTGGTGGTAGTTAACGTTGGCCTTCGATCGACCTCCAGTTCCTGCCGAGCTGCTGCAATCCTGAATCCCACTTGGCTTCCTCCATGCTTCGTGAGATTCTCTGCCACCTTGGACAAGGCCTGAATCAAGACCATCGAATCCGGGATTGCTACATGCAATTCTTCAGCTCGACAAATCCACCTGCGCCATGTTCGAATGGCACCCAGTGTGTCCTGGATAGAGCTGCCACACTTCACCTCCGTCAGGCTGCGCAACAGATTTCCCCTTTCTGCATTTCCACCAGGTTGGTAGATGGTGAAGAGCTTGTACAAAATCGCCTGAGTCGCCACTCGTCGACTTGCCACAATGTCCTTTCTCACCGGTTCCGGGAGCGCAGCTAGCAAAGTCGAGCTAGCCCGCTGGTCCAATCGTTGGAACCGTGGGGACACCTGCTCCTCCACCTTGATTCTCAACCGCCCCAATGGCGTCGCCAAAAGCCACTCATTGTACTTCACCTCCACTTCTCGCTGCACCCAATCCCAAAACTCGCGAGACGACGTACTGAGGTCTCCCATCAACGGGGAAATCACCGTCAGCCAGTCCCCAAAGAGCAGGGCCGCATTCTCAGTCGAAGGTCATGGCAACTGTGGCAATTCCAAATTCCGCATTGCCTCAGGTAGGGCCGCTGTCACCGATTCCATCGGCTTCATCCCATTCACCGCCCCATTCAATCCATTTCCATGACCTCGAAGATCGGGTACTGGAGCAAGACCAGGAGGAGTATCAAGTGCTCCACCAGGCTTAGCATTCTCTCCCATCGGCTCTTGAGGTCCTTCCGCCTTCGCACTCGGCACCGACGTGAACGATGCTGAATCTCCAGCGTCCGTCATCTTCTTCACCTCCCGAGCAAAGGTCTCCTCGGCCTCCCTCAAGATGCGTTCTCGAAGACGTTCCACTTGTCCCAGGCCCGGACTCGGCACAGGAGGTTGGCTTCTCGTTACCTCGGACTCACGCACGTGTGACTCACCCTTGGCCGCTTGCTGCACTGAAGCACTCCAAAAAGGATTCACCGTCCCCAAAGGTCCCACCGGCGTGGTAGGATAGGGCTCCAGCACCCGAGGGTGTACATCATCACGTCCTGCTCCAGCCATATAAGGTGATGCCCCACTGCGCTCCATTTCCACCCCGCTCTGCCGCAAGGGAGTACCAGCCGCCAGCCCGTGCCCTGCGAGAACTCCGTATCCGGTACCAGCATGACCTCCATGATCACCGCGCCGAAGAAGAGGATCTAGTAGGGTAGGTTGGGAACTTGGCCTTTGAAGAGCATGTTGCAACACTTCAAACGACTGCCGAACTGCCTCCTGCAAATGCCCAAGCCCCATCACCTGGCCTCTTGGATCATTCAACAGCTGTCGAACTTCCTGTTGTCCTTGGTGACCACTCGATGCCGCCACCGCCGGAGGGCCTCCCTGGCCTGATCCAGCCCCAGCAGCTGCTCCCAGCCGCTTCATCTCCGCTGCCCTCACAGGCACTGATTGCGCCCTCATGGCCTTGCCCTGCAGCTCCTCCTCGATGAGCGCATCCAATCGGCGGTCAGCCACACCAATCTCCACCGGTGGAGCCGCTGCCTCTTTCCGCTCTCGAGATCGTTGCTGCCGGCGTCTTCGTTGTTCCATGGGGACCAACACTTCCCCGTCCTCGCGACGGTGGAAGGTGGACTTGGAAAATCCAAAAAAAAACGATCACCTTGGGCTCATAACCTGTGGTTACGAGATCGGTCGGTCCAGCCCGTCGGACCTATTTTCTTGAGCCAAATGCCCAGACAGGGTCAAAAGGTACACTTCTGATTTGTGCACCTGTCGAAATTCGGAGTGGAATGTTCGATCCACAAACCCAAATTTATGCACCAAATGTAGGTGACACTTCCATACATGCATATGGTTTGGGACTATTAGGCCTGGGACCATTGAGTTGAGGGCCAAGAAAACGCTCGAGTCGAACAGAAAAAAACCATTGGCCAAACTTGAAGACATTTCGCACACTTGAAGGGACATCTTTGGTTTCGCTATGCTTCATAAGACGGCATTTTGAACACATGAGGCACGGTGTCGACGATGTTTTCTCCTCATGGCGATGAAGCCACGCCGACGACGTCCTTCCCTGACCTGAAGACACATGGCGTGGTTTCTACCTTCCATGAAAGGTGGAGGCCTCAAGTAATGGACAATGTTTTTGGAATTGCCGGATCGAAATATATATATATGTGTGTGGACAAAACACATCTCTAATGCCAAGTGCTTGATGATGAACATTGTGTGTGAGAGTGAGATTGATTGAAACACTGACCCAAACCCAGACCCACACACACACAAAAACAAAAAATATACAAACCTGAGAAGCTGCAAAACGAAAGCCAGCGCTTCCCTTTCTCGACAACTTCGCGTTAGGGGTTCAGATAGGTACCTTTCAGGTATCGAAGGCAGTCTGCGAAGCCAAGGGAGCTGAAAAAAGAAACCGGTGTTAAAATGGTTGTTCCAAGGCAATGCTTGAACCTTGGGATGAGCACATAATGTTCGAATCTCGAAGCGCGCGGTCGGTATCCTTGATTGAATCTGTTCTTCATTTTTGAGGTGGCCTGAACAATGGTTTTAGGGCAGCAAACGCCTGGCCCCAGGCCACCTTGAATTTCGTTTGAAAAAAACATTCTGTTCACACATAGATAATTCCCATCCGCATTCAGATGAAGCAAAAGCCAAAAAATGCACATTGACCTACATTGACCTTGCACCTGGTTGAACATACGATTGGTTGTCATATGATTGGAAGTGCATTCGTTCAAGTAGAAAGTTTTTAGAGCAAAATTCGAGGTGGCCTGGGACCAGAGGCTCGCTGCCCGAAACTATATGTTCAGGCCACCTCAAAAATGAAGATATGCGAAGCAAGGGTCCTGAGGTGTCTCTGTGACAAGGCGTTTGTTAAAACAGACAGTTTTTCAAGCTAAATTCAAGGTGGCCTGAGACCAGGGTTTGCTGCCCTAAAACACTCTGTTCAGGCCACCTTAAAATCTGAAGGTCTGCGAAGCGAGAGCAAAGGATGCACATTGTCCTTCTGCTGCTTGAATGTGGCCTTTTGTTTACTTAAAAGTTCAAGACCTCCCAGCTGTTTCCACCTCTTCGCTTCCCAGTCTTCCCAGGGTTCATATAGGGAGCCAGGCCATTTTCAGAATCTTCTGGATTTGAGCTGTTCGAGTTCCTATTGAAGGGTATATGTTCTAGTTGGCGAGTGCGTCACCACCCGCTCCAAAAGCATCAAAGCATCACCTCCCAGAGTTTACGTATATCTTTCTCGAGCCACACATGCACAGCAAACCACAGCTTTGAAGTCTCATTCGTGCTTTGAACTTGTATAGGTGTGTAAGAGGTATAGCAACATAGCATTTATACGGACACAGGGTAGCTACAATTCTGTTCCCAGGTGTCGCGCGCATGAGGCTTCAAAGCTGTGGATTGCTGTGCGTGTGTAGAGGTTATCGAGCGGTTGACGGAAAGGGAACTTGAAGTAGCTGCACTATAGCTACCCTGGGTATCTATACCTGGCAATGTGCCAACTACACCTTTCCATTCAGATGATGCAAATGATGCAAATTGCATTTCTTGCATCACCACCCCTCAAAAATCACCTCCAACACAACCTCAAAAAACCTTCCCTCGATGCACCCTCCTCCCCCAGCACGTGCCGAGTTTACGTGTACCTTTTGCGGGCCACCCCCCCAGACCCCCTAACTACTCACTTCGTTCGCCAAGCACAACTCAGCTGGCGCCTTCTACGAAGGCTGGCTTTCGTAACAAAAACACAAACACAACAACTCTCTCAGGGTCTGTGTTTTGTTTCCGATTGAATAATTGCCAAGGGTCAGCAAGCGACGAATGACAAAGGGATATGCCATGGCCACAATTTGATATTGCGGGTCTCCTTGCAAAGCCACGCCTTCCAGTGTCGCCACTGAACGTGCCAAGAGCGAGACGTAGGGTGGAATGGAAAACTTCACTTCCATATTCACCTGGCAAACGACGTTGCGCACGGACTGACACGCACCTGACACCACGCACGGCACGGCATCTAGTGCTTAAAACCCCTTCGAAGCGAACACTTCGAGGTGACCGGTGAGACACTGGTCAAACACCGAGACGACACCGAGAAAAGCGGAGAGACTCACGCGAGTCTACAACAACTAGTGAGTGTGTACTTGAGCCGCGAGCCTTTTATCTCCTCATGAGGGAGGTCATCTGACTGACACATCGAAAAAAAAGAATGGGCTCCAAACCAACAGGTTTTGAACTAGGCGGCTAACTGATCGTTTGCTCTATTACATAAAACGTAATAATTCAGAGGGACCCCATAAAAAAAAGTGCGTGCCTCAACAACTTGATTGAACGGAAGGCCGACCACAATAATAATTGTGGTATCTCTCCGTATGCGTCGTGTGTGCATGTGTGCTCCGCTGCAACTCCTGAACCATGTGGCCGTTTCGTAGCATTTGTGGCAGTTCTTCTGTCATAAATTAGCCAGATCTACTTGGACATGAAGGCTGTTTGACTGACCATTGTACGAGCGTGAGGTTCAACTCAATTGTACGCTTTGTTTCCATTGAAACTGAGATGGATCACAATCTGTACAGGCAGGTCTCCAAGGGCACAAAGGCCACAACGACTGGGCAAGTACGCCTCTCCCTCAATCCTCCCATGTCACCGGGTACCAACAAACCTACCGTCTCAAAGCACCTCAGAAAATAGGTACAAGTACCTGTTTCTATAGGGTCATGTCGTGTCATGTCGCATTTTCTAGGGCACTTTGGAGTCCAGTAAAGCCTCCTAACTCTCACCAAGCTCACTGCACACTCGCCTGGACCTGCAAATGTTCTTGGCTTACACGCTGCTCTCAACTCCCTTCTCCGCTGTTTAGATTTGCCCCCATCTTCGCTACCAAAGCGCCACGGCTCTCCCCCCCCAAAAAAAAAGAGTTCGGCCTTCAGAAGATCCTGAGTCAGGGCTTGGAAGTTGGCATTCTTAAATGCTTGAGCTCCGCCACCCTTCAAGTACCTCACGAAGGTGAGTTACTGCGGTGCTTCCGCATGGAAGAGCGGAAGTGCGGGCCCTTCCGATGGACCAAACGGGAACCACGTGAGTTAAAACAGTTATTTCAGTTCGGTGAAATCCAAGTGAAAAGGACGGTTTTTCACTGACCTAAATATGCTGAAGTCATCCTACAGCCCACTTTAAAGTGAAGAGGCTGATGGTCGTGTTGCCCGACGCCAGAAGCGGGTGGAAGAATTCCTATATTTTGACGTGTACCAGCTGGGAACACGGTGTTTTCCAGTCCTAGCAGGATCCTGTTGTACACTTCGACTCGCTCACGAAGTGGAGTGGAGTTCACCCCCCTTCCCGGTCGTTTTTAGTACCTCCCTGAACATGTGTGACATTGGTGTGACCCATCCAAACAGCCTTTCGCTTGGCAGTGCAAACAGCTTTTGCAAGAACCCGACCCTCCAAGAGCGGCCCAAGGAATCAAAGAGGGTCAGCTGTAAGCAGCCATGGAGGACAACCACTACAGCTCCTAGAGTCCTTGAGGTCAGAACCCTCCATGAGAGCATGACCCCTTGTGAAAGCATTCGACTCCATAGGAGAATGCTGAGCACGGTGCCCTTCTAGAAGAATCCAGTCCTGCACCCTCCGTGCGTACCTCAAATGGAAACAAGTACGTGGTTTTGGTTCGGGTCAGATGGGTCATGAGTTGAATATATACCAGTAAACGGCGGATGATGATTGTGAGTAAAGACCTTTCACAATGACATGTCGTGATCATCTTCAATTCCATATATGTTTTGCTACCGAGCACCATGAGCCAGTCGTGAGGGGCACAAAGTGCTAGCAGTTAGGAGTATTTTCGCACCTTCCCAGCACAGTCCCCAACCGACAAACCGTTTTGCAATCAAAACAGGTGCGGTTTCAGAACCCTTTGCATAATTGGAACCTTAGCTTCTGCACGACATGTGCCGCAAGTCGGGCGCAGAAAGAAAAACGATGCCGCATCCGATGGCTCAAGCCTCGTCCAACATCTGAAGATCTTGGGTCCAACACGCGCAGAACCATCAGGATTCAAGGCAACAAACCAGCCCTAAGCTCATGTTCTCTATTTGGCCAAAGTATTCTTCCTCTCACATGTTCAAAGTAATTATGGCGTTGGCTGTGGGCTATGGCACCGGGGGCCTGGGGACCAAACGCTTTTCCGAACATGAACAGGTAACCGGGAGGTACGGACTCCCCGGGGATGTCCACTGAACGCATGGGTATTTTCGGGAGGGAAAAAACTCAGAAACGCCATTGCGTTGAAAAAACAATATGAAGCCACAAGCTTGAGGGCTTAAGCTTCGGGGCTTATGCTATTTTTGTTCAAATTGTTCGAAGCCAACAGCGCTTCTCTCAAGCTCGAGGGCTCTTGGCCGTTCACAGCAAGTGTGGGCGGCGGCGACAGCCCAATTTCTACTCTGAGCCATGCAGAACCAGTCTACCCAGCCAGGGGCGATCGGGGGTCTAAGCTAGATTGGGGGTCGCCCCAATTCAATACACACTCATCGCTGACTTTGGCGACCCCTGCTCATTGCAAAGTAGGATGAAAATCATCAAACATGGTCAAAGTTGTAAAACACAGAGTTTGATGACGTTCGTTATTGCCACGCAAAACCAACACACCAAGCATCCCGTTGATCTGTAAATCTCTAACTCACATCCGTCCTTCCGTCCTTCCGTCCGTCCGTCCGTCCGTCCCGTCCGTCCGTCCATCCAATATCCAATCACCTCCCGTCCCATCGGTCTAAGGGGCCAAGGCATCTTTGTCCGTATCCTCCGACAAAAAGCCCAACTCCTCACGTGCCGGGACTTTCTGCGATGTGGCGAAGAAGAAGACCTCCAAAACCACCTGAACCCGAAAGCTCTTGGAACTAGAAAATTGGACATGTCCCGAACCAACACCAGGGCCCAAGAAAGAGGGATCATTAATGGACAGCCCTTAACCTTAACCGCTTTTCGGGGCTATTCTCAAACACCCCAAACAGGAGGCAAAAGGTAGTACTTTATATTTTCTTGTATTATCTTCTATTATACTAATTTTGCGAGGTACTATAACTGACACTCCCGATTCCCATTGAGTGGATGATGCGCCTCTCATCGTTTCTGAAAGGGATTTGTTGGACAAAACATGGAGAGAAAGTGCTTTCGGTGTCACGAAGCTTTTCCGTTCTTCAGATCTCTTCAGCGATGGGATCTCTGAAAAACGTGTACCTTGACCATCTGTGCGCGCGCAACCAATGGTTTTGGACCATGCACATTTATGAACAGATACACAAATACCACGTCAAGTTAAACCACTCCTCCAACACCACTCTCTCTCTCTCTCTCCCTTGTCCTGGATAAGGGTTGCCTAAAGGAATACAGTACTTGTCACCTACACAGTTTACAATGCATTAGAGGCAGGAAGAACATCAACAAAAACAACTCCGTCCTGGAAGTCCTCGATCAAGGCCTCCCAATTCTGAGTTCCTCAGCTGCTGGCAAATTTTGAACATGCATGCGCAGGTCACATATTCGCATATATATATAACCATCCTGGAGTACGTACATAGAATATGGAATTGAAGGTTCCGGCCGTTTTTGTCCACGAACTTTTTGAAAATCCAAACGGGTACATAGAATAAGAAAACGTGGATTTCGAGCTTTCAAGTCAACCAAATTTTTGAAACATAGAATATGGTTCCCCTCGATTATCATAGTTTTTCTTTTTTTTGTCCATGTCTGTTCCTTTTATGTTCCTTTTGTTTTCCTTTTATTGTGATTGTCCGTTCCTTTTCTTGTTAAATTGTTGTCATTGTCTTATCTTTTCTTGTCCAGTTCTTGTCCTTTTCAGCAGGAACTTAGTAAAGGAACTTAAACAAATAAAAAACAGAGTCTAAAACCGACCGCAGCTGTCAGTCCAAGAAAAAAATAGAAACCAAAAAATATTCTAAGTACCATGTTTGGACCCATATATTCCAAGTATGTTTTTTCTTTTTTGCAGCCGCGAGATTGAACAAACACATATTCTATGTACTCCAGGATGGTTATATATATATGGAAGTGCAAAACAACTTGTTACTATTGATTTCTTGGTGGCTTTGTGAAGAAAGGCATAACATCATATCATATAGAGGAATTGAGTTGGTATGAATTGCTACCAGTCACAATCAACCGTTTACAATGAATACAAGAGTCCCAAAATTTAGAGGAACCTGAACCTCCTTGCAAGTTGACTATGGACCCCGAGTCCATCTGGATGATGAAACAACAGTACCGAAACCCATCATCATCACATGACACACTTGTTACGTTGCATCCATGTCCAATCCATCGTATACCTCCACATGCATCGAATGGACTGCGGACTGCGCTTCGTTGTGAAACTCCCAACGCCATCGGCATCACTGCGCGAAGTTAGCTCGGGATGGGACTTCGTGGCACCCGCCGACTGACAGAAGCGTGACGACCTGAATTAAAACCCAGGTCAAAGCCTGATTTCCCTTCTTTGGGTGGAGAAGTCGAAGTGTTTTGGTTGAAAAACACAAAACACAAAACACAACATTCAAACCACTTTCTTCTAACCACTTCCCCTATTTGACCTTCGGATGGGGCGGTCTCCACCTCTCGGTTCTTTCTGTCTCCGGACCTCTCGTCTCCAGGCTCTGCCGAGGAGCCCAAGTGGACCACGGCGGAGACGATGATGTCCCGGTCCTTCCGGGGCACCTGGGCGACCAAGCCGAAGTCCAAGAGGCCTCAGACGGCAGGCTGTGGCAGGCTGGGAGGGCTGGGAGGAGAGGAGCCGAGCAGGTGTGGGGGAGAAAGAGGAGGTGATGAGGTGTGGGGGGATGACAGGTGTTTCTGGGGTAGGTGGACGGTGAGGTTCACTTTCGGATTGGTTTGAGGTCGGAAAAGTTAAATGGCGATCTGACCTTTCTGAGTCCAATCTGGGACATGACATTAACATGTGTAAACAAAATAAATGTCCACATGGAACTGAAACTCGGGGTGATTTTTTCCTTTTTTCCGGGATTGGAACTGATCCGTGCTTTCGGATTTCGGGATGTTTTATTGTTTCATGTCTGGGAGAGCTAAGGCATTTGGGTCCAAGGTGGGATTAAATCTAAGGAAAGCAAGGTCCAAATTGATACAGTGCATACATAGTATACATATATATATATATAAATAAATAGATATAGATGTATTGGTCAAGCTGGGGTTCTCTCATTTGGTGTTTTGTAATTATTCATGTGGTCTCTGACCTCTAAAGGTGGTGTGGAATATTTTTGGGGAAGCGGGACCAATGGATATGTGCGCCAAGGTGGGGTGGGCTTCTCTTAGATTGTTTTAAGTCTGGGAGAGGTAAGACATTCAAATGGTTCCCAGGTGGGATTAAATATCTAGGCAAATTAATTGATACAGTGCATATATATATAATATAAATAGATGTATTGGTCAAACTGGGGTGGGATTCTTTGATTTTCTTTCATTTGGTGTTTTAAGCTGATCAAACATTGACCGGCTTTTGACATGCCTGTGGAAAAGTTTAAACTTGTTTTTAACTTCTGGATCAGGTGCCTACTGTAGTTTGAAACACATCCCAGGTCATACCCCCAGCTTTACCCTCTTACGCCCCTACTTGATAAATATTATGCTTTGAACATTCCAAAAATATTCCATGAACTGACGGTGAGACCTAGAATAATTAACTACGGACCCACCCATGGTAATATCCTGTCCCTCCAAGTGAGTCTTCAAGTGCGCTCACCCGCTTCAGACCCTCCAAGAACTCAACAGTTGCTTGGAGGCTCTCTGCCATTGCCTTGTGGGACATTACTTGCGGGCACTCTTTGACCACAAATTGCATGATGGATCTGAGGCCATAGGAACCAGAATCACGCAGGAGATTCAAGCAGTCAGCACTCATCTCTTTGTGAGGGAATGATCCGGAATTCTGGAACCTGCATTCTCCAAGGTATGCGCCAAGGTATGCGTGAATCCTGCGTACGACTCTGTCCCTCTGGATTTCTGAGGACAATCGGTTATGGTCTGCATCAATGTCCAAGACAAAAGCATCATAGGAATCTGTGATTCCAGCAAGACGGTTCAACACATCATTCATCTGGATTGTAGCCTCAGGGATGCCGCCCACAGTGACGATCGTGTTTCTTGGTGCCTTGCTCTTCTTCTTGATAGCCCCAGCGAACACATTCATGGTCAAGGAATTGGCTACGTTCCTAAAGACTAGAACTCACAGTCGCAATCGAACGCTTGTCATGATCTCCTTCTTTTCTGCCTCATTTGCACCATCAAGGTCGGATGATCCTTTCAAGTTCGCTTCTAAATCTGTGTGGTACAGCAAATCGATGAATGCTTTCCCGGTGGCCCTGAGGATGGAAAAATAATTCGAAGCGATCAGCTGAGTATGGGTTGAGATCGCATCATCCGGTGGCAAAGTCTCTGCTGGGGCAGATGTGCTTCCTGTTGGTTTCACAGCACTTCTGGAAAGGTTCAAATCCATCTTGGCCAATGCCTGAGTTTGCTTGCCACCTTCATGTCTGACTTGCCTATGCTTTCGTCCTTGTTTGGAAGCTGGAGCACTAGCAGTGCGAGATGCCATCAGTAGCCGGAACACAAACAGGTGAAGTGTGAGAAGCTCAAAGTCACCGTCGAATTGCCAAATGATAAGCCGTTTATGATTGTTTAAACAAGGCAAATGTGGCCCAAGAGGTTGGTTTTTATTTTATCAAAAAGGGTGGGGACAAATTGAAGGTTGCAATTGATTCTATAAACATGTTGCAAGAGGTTGGTTTTGATTTTATAGGCCTGACCTCACAGCACACCATCCACTCTAAAATCAATGTTCAACCTTCTATTCCTCAAAATGTGTTCAATACTATAAAATGAAATATCAACCTACATGACCCCACAACACACCATCCACTCCAAAATCAATTCTCAACCTTCTACTACCAGATGCTTTCTATGACATGGCGTGCCCTCTCTATAGAATCAACTGTTGGGACCCATATTGAAAGACCAAGCTGACTTTTTGGACCCCATGTTTAACTGGTTTTTCAGATAGGTTGATATTTGAGTCTATATACTATATACAAGAAAATTGTCTATAAAATCTGATGGTCATTTTGAGCTCAAGCTCCCAGATTCTATAGAGATATTCGGCAGAGGATTTGCTTATAATGTGTATGTATCATGTGTGATTTTTGCTGTAACTTTGACCATACATAAATCACATATGATACTAGTTGTGTCATTGCAATAACACACTGATTTAACATAAAGAGTGCATACAGCCAGCATTGCTGGCTGAACAAACAGGAAAGACATCCGTATACAACCTAATGTGTGGCCACCAATGCTGGTCTTCAAATGATCGCCCTGTGCTAAAGGCGCCTAAAAATTTGGTTCACAGTGGGGCGGCACTGCAGATCACACTTAGATATAGGCTAGCAAGAGCTGAATCAGTTGTGAGGATCCAGTGCATTAGCTCTTTAGGTGAATAATTACTTAGCCCTTGACTCTCAAAACGGCATGGCGAAAGGGTAAACACACTCACCAGCACTTTACGGGAAAATTGAAGTTTACAGCATACAGGGCAATGATGATACCGTTGCTGCGAAGCTTGGACCACACCGCCATGGTAAAATTGGCACAGGCAACAAGCAAATGCCGCAGACTGCTTGCCCTGCCACTGCTGGAGCTGGAAGCACGGCCTCAGCATTCTGTGTGGCAGCGGCCCCAGGCGGCGAGGCAGCTTCTGTTGCTGCTGGTGGTGCCACCGCTTCATCGACCGACCATGCCGACGTTCGCCGCCGCCGGCGTGGACGACTCTCGTCGAACCACACCCAGTCGCCACCACCTTCGCCACCTTCATTGGCTGGCGCGCTGCTGGCGCGCTCCCTGTGCCAGTGGCCATGGCTGTCCCCAAGAGCACACTCAACAGCAACTCCTTCACCTCATTCCAAATTCCTCTGGTGACGTTTTTGAGAGCCAGAGCGCTTGTCTTGTTCAAAAAAACGGGTATGAGTGAAACAATGCCCTCCAGCTGTGTCTCAAATGCGCCCAGGAGCGCATACTTCTGGAAAAGATCAAACTCGTGAAGGCGTTCAGACCTCCCCCCGCATTTCCAGCTCAGAAGTGGGACATGTCAAGCTTCCCCATGGACGTGGATGTGGAGGGTCCGCTCTTCCAATGCTTTTGCGCGGCACTCAAAGAGTCGTTCACAGCTCCTGAAGTAGCCAAGCTGCACAGCTTCCCAGCATCATCGCCTGATCAGGGGCGAGCAACATCAAGAAGTCAGATTATACATTGATACAAATACATTAAATACATTAATTAAAATCCTTAGGCATCGTAACCAGGAGCAAGGACGCTACTAGTAGCTCCTGGCATCGCTACTCGGAACAAAGGGCATCGAACGAACAAAGTAAGGATACCCTAGGGCCTCCAACCGCATCCGGTTCGGTGATTGGGGCGCCAGGGGGTCGGTCCCTCCTTCTAAGGATGAACCCGTTTGGGAATCCATCGATACCACCGAACCTGATAGCGATCGAAACGTGATGGAAGAAGGGGCAGAAGGGGCAACAGTGACAAGTACCAGCGGTCACCGAATGTCACGTTCAACCAGCTAAGGCTTGATGCAAAAGGCTTTGATTTGGCTCAGATTGCTCTCCAACAACAAGGTCTTGACGCTCTTTGACCCGGGATCTCCACGATATGTGTGCAATAAAGACATCACATATATGTCACCCATGTTTCCCCCTGTCTCGATGGAAAACGGGTGGTTGGTTTTCCCCCCAAAATAGAGGTCCAGATTAATGGTTGTCTTCTCGTCGCTTTTGGTCGTCCAACGTCGGTCCCCAAACCAGTGGATCCTGCGTCCTCTCAGGGTTTTTCAAACGACCGAGCGACCTGGAGAAAAATCCACACCTTCAGACCTGGAGAAACGGCTTTCCACGTCTTGGATCGCACCGTTTTGGAGAAAGACACCAGGCAATGCGGCAAAACTGGTGAGAAAAACCACACCAAAACACCGGTAGAAACACCATTGGATGCAGCAAGAATGCAATTTTTCCTAGAAACACCATCCACGTCCTGCGTGCGTCCAAGGACGATGTAGCTGCAGCCCTCCCAAACATTCCGAAAAAGACACGGTGCGCACCAAGGTGCTTTCTTGCACTCGGGTTCCGATTGCAAATCGTTCGATACACAAAAACAAACAGGAAATCGTTCCGGTGCCTTCAGTGATCTTCAAGAGGTTTCCAGGATGTGGATCTCCATGGAAGAAACCAATGTCCTGGACCACTCCGAGTTCGGAACCAACACCAATGGGCCGAGGCATGGCCGACGCCTTGCGAACACCCCTGCGGCAAGAAAACATCGATATGACGATGACTGAAGATCAACGGTGCTTCCGCGCGTGTATGTGTGTGTGTGGGCAGGTGGGTGGGTGGGTTGGTGGGTTGGTGGGTTGGTTGGTGGGTGGGTGGGTGACTTACTGTGTGCAACATGGGGTAGGTTGTTTTCACACACACACACACCCGCTGAGGCATAGCTTATGCAAATACCCAACTCGACAAGGACCTACACAAAGCTCACTGAACAAGCCAAGGAACCTTAAAGTAATGAAATAAAACATATATATATATATAACGGTTTGATCCCCTTGGCTCCACCACACCGCATATGACATATATCACACCATCGCCTTTTGTTCTGTCGATGCGACATGCAGGGATTGCCGGATGGCCATTTTCCAAGCATGTCTGTTGACAAGAGCTGGGACTTCTCCGGAACAGCGTTTATCCCCCATTTCACAGCTGGTTGGGGGTTCCTGGGGGTTCGGATTCCCCCTACCAGTCTCCACCTGGTGCACTTGCAAACGGTGCAAAGACCCTACAAAGACCCATGCAAAGAGGACATCGACCGACGGAAGGACACTATGACCGGTTGAGGGTGAAACTATCAAGGCGATAGATGCACACTCATCTGGCTGTGAGTCAAAACCTCCCCCGCCAAAGCATGGGTGGGTGCTTCAGTGGTTGATATCCCATATATATATATTGCAGTATATTGTTTCATGTTTACCATGGTGCCCCGGTTTTGACCAACAGCCATCTCAGAAGATTCCTTTGCACGAGATCCAAAAGAAGAGGGCCGACGGCCCTTGAAGTTCCCCCATTGAAGACATAAGACCATCTTAGGGACTCCCAGTATAGCCATGCCTAGCCTGTCGTACTTATATAATACTTGCAGTTTGCGTTGATCCTTTGGTTAGTAGTAAGTTATATATATATATACCCCATGGCATGTGAACCAAATTGGGCTGCAAATATTGGTCCATCAATAGCCAAGTCTTTAGTATATATCTTTAGGGGACTGTTTGTGCTCCATCCTGAACCACGGATTTCCTTCATCTCCCACATCCATTGGTCAGTCACTCTTTATGGAAAAAGAGGCCCGAAAACGGCCGGCGGAAACTCGATCTCAGTTGATTGAGCAGGAATCCAAGAGCTGAGTCAAGAAGACCTCCTGCCCAATGGCGATCAATTCTCGAATCTCCTGCAGCATCAGAAGTTTTTGGACACTGTCCACAAATCTCTAGATCATCTGCGTGTGTATTGGAATCATCTCAAAGACCCTGGGAAGAGCTGCCCAAAGAAGTTGCCGCCCCAGAAGTTGCTGGGGGTCTCCTCTAAATAGGGACTCCCTTGTTTTGATTTGATATTAGAACAGGTTCCCGGTTCACCATTTTCCAACTGTAATATATTGGGGAAACCTGTTTCCGCTCAACAAAAGGGTAATTACGGTAGGTTATCCAGGTAGTGAAACCTTTCTTTCTTGGGGTGAATAATGGTGACTATGTTTTGGGTGGTTATTGTTGCAAAGCATAATATATTAAGTATTATAAAGTATGGCTCAATGTTTGCTACCCCAAACCCCAGTTGTCTCAATCCTGGGTCTGGGACTTTGAGCTAGGCCCATATCGTTTCGATTGAAATCATGCGGCAAAGCCACCAGGATTGAAAACATGCTGTAGACTCTGGACGGATATACTAATTACTGGTGGTTTAAATAAGAAACATAGTACTGTATACACACCTAGAAAATTGCCTGCTGCTGAGCAAAGAATCTTAAAAGCTCCATGCTTGATGTCACCAGTAGTGAAATAGTGAGTGTAACATGTCATTCTTCAAGAATACCCCAACATGTCTCGGTTAGTTCATTGGATGTTCGCCGGGCTTTATCTCCGTCGTCCTCCACTTCTACTGCAGGGATTGATGAGGCACAAGGGCATGTAATGTGTGCCTCGCTTGTTGTCCCATAGTAGTTCTCAGTTGTAGTGAGCATTTCAAACACTGATTCTGTTGGACTTTTTGTGTTAAATTCTATTTCCAGGGACTCCCCAGTACAAACTCCTGTTACCTTCCGTCTCTGAATCCCCAACATGGGCTCCATGAGGCTTGATTAAAACAACAACTGGTGGCGAAAACGGACCGGCCACGTGTCGCCAGGCGTTGCGAGTTTTCCTTTCTGACTTTGGACGGCACCTCTCGGATTGAAGCTGACCCCCTCAGCTTCCGTGTGTAAGAAAGCCCGCTTACTTTCTGGGTAGGGGGAAGAAGCCATGAGTTGGTCTCCCAGGAAAGGTGCTGGGTACGCTGAACAAAACATGAAAAAAGCGAGTGTGATTTGACTCGGTGAGCTCGCTGATCAAATCAGCTGCTTGTGGAATGGGACTGCAGCATGTTTCAGCATCAAACGACTGCTGGAAGGGACTGCAACAAATTGGGAGCTTTTCAAGGTCCTTTTTAGGTCTTGCCGAATTCCACACGTAACGTAGAAGCCCCAAATGCTCGTTTTTTATTTGAGCCAGGAGTTCTGAAGGGGCTGTAACATCAAAGAAAAACACAAAAACGCAACCACTGCGCTGCAGGCAGTAAGAACACGCTTCGTACTTAACGCCCAAAGCCGGCGCAAGCAGAAAACCGTCCTGCTGTGGCAAGGTGCTGAGTTTCACTCCATTCACCCACTGAGAGAGCATCACCCGGCGCGTGGTCAATGACATCAACGGGGTCGGAATGATGATCCTCACGGCCGTCGCGAGTTCCTCGCGAGTTCCTCTGTCGGTGGGTTGGCTGACCGTCAGTTCGGAAGGACCAGTTGAACCGAAGGACAAGCCGGGTGGCGTGGGACCCACTTCCATGTGATGTGTTCGTGAAGCTTGACGATCGAGAAGGACATGCTTGATGGTTGGAAGCACCCAAATGACGAGCTCCTATCTCTTGAGGCATCCAGGTGCCTGGATGCCATGTGTGAGTCTTGCAGTTGCAGTCAAGCAAGGAGCTCAAGGAACCATCCAGCTTCACTGAAATCTGAAATACACTGAAGTCTTGATTGATGGATGATCTACATGGCTGCATACTAAAACAGGGAGACCGACTCGACCTCCTAGAAAAGCCCTTGACTGGGGGTGGGGGTCTCTCCCTATCCTAGTATATGAATCGCATGTGCCAGATGCATTGATCCCTTGCCTCTTTGGAAGGTGTGACCACAATGATAGCCCCTGACATGTCCTCCCTGCTTTACCAGGGTTTTCCTCCGGATCCTTGCTCCGTGGTGCCGTTTTTGTTTTGATGTTGGAGCATAACTTGTGACGTCGGGTATGGGGATTCAAACACACTCCCAAGTACGTCGCAGCATGTTTTTCTGGCTAAGTATCCTTTTTCACCTGGCTGGAAAGACTCTGCGTCAAAGGCAGTTCTGCAGCCCTGCTGCCCTGCTACGACTCTCGAGTCTGCACCTTCACATGTGACTCGCCCTTGGACGGAGGACCAAAATGCTGGCTCACCCACAAGAACGAAAAGAACATATGACGGTCATGGCACCCGGGCACCCTGGTTGACCGAAAATGACCAGATTCCTCTATATAGTGATGTCAACCTACCATGGTTTGGTGGAGGTTGAGTTCCTCACAGCCATTTGCCTTAAGGCGTTAGTCAATGGTTGCTCTCATCTTGCAGGATTCCGGAGATTGAGCCCCCACGGCGCTTGGACTGATATGAGTCTCATCCCAGGTTGGCCGCCGCACGACCGTCTCCTCTCAAAACCCAATTCCATGCAAGGCGCTTCTCTAAGGAATCTTCGCCTCAGTAGAGGGAGACGGGCCGGGCGACGGCGACTCAAACGGCAGGGAGCTGTGCCAGCTGTGCTGCTTTGTTGGGTCCAGGGACGTGACGTCCAAGTTCACCTTTCGTTTTGTTCCAATGAAGTACACCTCACACGGAAGCGGTCTGCGTCTGCCTTGGTATGGGTCTTCTGGCCATTCCGCTGGTGATCTCTGAAGTACTTGGATATATTGAGATGTCTTCAGATACGCACTTTGTCGCAAAAAAACAGACTTTGACATCCGGTTCTTCCTGGGGTGGTGGACCTGGGGTCTTAAATGCAGGCATTCTTCTGTACTATATGTACTACAGATTACTACAGTAACTATTAGTATACTAATCTTGGAGCCCCAGGGAATATATACATGGAGTCTCCGGCAAGAACCGAGGAAATCGAAAACCCACCACATGGAGCCGCACAGCTACCTCATATAGGGAACAAATATGAACAAATCTTCCAGCTGCCCAGCTGCCAGTATGCACTGTTCAACACACAATGAACAAAACAAGTGTGATACCTATCACGAGTATCACATCTCTTGGCTCTGTCAGGCGGCCCGCCTGATTGTGTTGCAATCAATCATTGTCACGCTCGGCGATTCCAAACCGTCTGAGCAAGGGACAGCTTTGAGGCTAGGTGCTATAGAACATCAAGTTTATGCCTTTGAGAGCGATGTAGGCTACCCTCACTTGCAGTGGATGATGATGATGGCTAGTAAGCTGTTCAGTTCTTGCACAGTATGCTAGCAAGAAACTGAATCAACACCGCAGGAATCATCATGAACCAGAAGATACCCTATCTACTAGCTGGCTCAAAAAAACTTGTCCACTGTGTTGTTGTCCGGCAAGACCACAAAAAACCAAAGAATAATAATTACTTTACTTCGAGTGATCCCCACCATGACATTTCAATCATTTGACTTGATGCCATAGCGAGGGGGCGAGGGGCATGTTGCCATGGTCGTGAGTATTGTAGTTCTCGATTTTGCTTGTGGGTCCTCGGGTTGTGTGCTGCGGTTGTGTGTTGTGGTTGTGGTTGTGTGCTGTGTTGTGGTTGTGGTTGTGTTTGTGATTGTGTGTTTGTGGCTGTGTGTTTGTGATTGTGTGTTTGTGGATGTGCTTGCGGTTGTGCTTGTGGCTGTACGTTTGTGGTTGTGTCTTTGTGGTCGTGTTGTTGTGGTTGCGTGTTTGTGGTTGTGTGTTTGTGGTTGTGTTTGTGTTTGTGTGTTGTGGTTGTGTGTTTGTGGTTGTGTGTTTGTGGTTGTGTGTTTGTGGTTGTGTTTTTGTGGATGTGCTTGTGGTTGTGTTTGTAGTTGTGTGTTTGTGGTTGTGTTTGTGGTTGTGTGTTTATTGTTGTGTCTTTGTGGTTGTGTGTTTGTTGTTATGTTTGTGGTTGTGTGTGTGTGGTTGAAAGTCTGCCATTCAATCTGCCATTCTATCTGGCAATCTATCTGACATACTATCTGGCATACTGTCTGGCATACTATCTGGCATTTTGTCTGGCATACTATCTGTCATTCTATCTGGCATATCTTCTGGCATTCTATCTGGCATTCTATCTGGCATTCTATCTGGCATATTTTCTGGCATTCTATCTGGCAATGTATCTACCAATCTATTCTATCTGGCAATCTACCTGGCATTCTATCTGGCATTTTATCTGGCAAACTATCTGGTTGAGGTCCAGCGGTGCACACTGCGATCGGATCCTTGCGGTTGAGGTCCAG